CAGGCAAATTTCACTCTTTTTGATCATTTGGGATAAGTATGACAGTAAGCGGCATATATTTCTAGATGCACGTTTGGTTTCTTTGATCTTCCATCTTCAGATTAACGTGAACTAAATCACAAATTATATTGATATGTAGCTGTATCAAATGATCAAAGTAAGGCTGTATCAAGTTAAGGAAAATCAACACATCAACAGATCAACACTTCAACAGATCAACGGACCGGGACGGTTTGGGGATGGCACAATAGGTCTAAAACCAAGAAATATGTTGAAGAAATTGAGTACTTATAAGTCATCTTATAGGTCATCCTAAAGGTCATCCTAAGACATTTGATTCAATATCAATAGTTTTTACTCCCCGAACCGCCCCGAACCGCCTTGATCCGTTGATCTGTTGGTTTTCCTTAACTTGATACAGCCTAAGTGAAATTTGCCTGCACTTAAGATAAGATTCTCTTGGGTGGAACGCCCAGATAAGATCTTTTGAATAGGCCTTTTTAGTCCGATGAATGATGCAATTTTAAGCACATCCGACGGTGGTACAACTTTGAGTAAGCAAGGCGGGACAGTCTGTCTAATGAAAGTACAATTTGCAGCAGTCGTCGCACAAAATGTGTCGCCAGGCGAGCACAAAATTGTATCACGCTCGGATGCGCTTAAAATTGCTCCATTGGCAATAAGTGAGTAAATGACAATTCTTGTGCATGAGCTTTGCACAAAATTGAGCATGGCGTTTCGATCTGCTCGGATTTTATGCACAACAACGCATACTTTCGTGCTGAGTTACGCGCAAATTCGTGCTTTTCCAAACACACGCCCAATTTCGTGCGAAGCATATTCACTAAAAATTAAATTGGTAACTAAAAAAGTAAATTAGTGTATGTATTTGAACAATTTTGTACGTGGTGTCACAAAATTTAAAACATGCGAACTTTTTCTCAAAAATTTGTGCTTAGAATAGCACAAATTCGTGTGAAAACGCGCGCAAATTTGCACGAAAAGCACGTACACTAATTGAAACAATGAAACGAATGTTGTCGCCACATGCGAACACTTCTTTCTGAAAGGCGATGCTTGACAAAGTCGGGTAAAGCCGTTGACCGAAGGTAGATGTGCGCCAGGCGTGGATTGCCATCATTAGCGCAACATCGCGAAGCCTGTTACACACTAGATTACGGTGTAGTTTTTTGGGCATGAGCTTTGTACGAAAGTGTGCATGCACGGAATGCACGAATTTCATGCACAACGCACACTCGCGTGCGCAGTTGAGCACAAAGTCGTGCACGTTGAAGCGCATGCACAGTTCTGTGCAAAGTGTATGCACAAAAAACTACGAACTGTGTACGACAAGACACGGTCTGGCGCAAACCTACCTTTACTCTTAAAAGATTGCAAAGAACAGTTCTTGGCAGTGTGAAGAACTCTCCGGCTTTCTATTATGAACACCTTAACGAACTTGTTTCTTCGCATTACGAAGAAATAGTTTGAATGTTGCGAAGAAAGAAGTTCGTAAGGTTGCGAAGCATTGATTTGTAACGTTGCAGAGAATTTTCTTTGAAAAATATTACTTTGCAATGTAAAGAAATGTTTGCATGAGCTCGAGTTTGTAATTCAATGCCGGACAATACTTTGCAAGAATTTTTGAGTGTCGCTTTCAGTCATTTTTTATGAACATAAATAACCCTCACCCCGTATCGAGCTCGAAAACTGTTTGGTTACGATGCTATTTCACACACTAACTCTAGACATAGCA